GTGCTCGTTACGCTAATTGCACTAAGAAGTACGCGTAATAAGTATTTCATCGAAATAAATAAGCCGAAACTTTTATGCTTTAATTTGTGCAAAGAAGAATTTGGATTACGGTTAAATTCTCCGTAATTGGCGTTCAGATTTCGCACAAAAACGGACAATTTGGGAAGAGAAGATACGATTGTTCGAGCTTCGCGGCTCATTTTCATTTACCGTATTAATTTCCAATTTGGATCTCCTTTAAATCCGTCATTTCTCAGAAAATGCAGAATTTCGAATAAACTGAAAATACGGGCAAATTTCGAGAAATAAAGATCGCAGCGTTTAATTTTCTCTGTTGACGGATCGATCGAATGAGATCCGCGAGGTTTCGGGTCTTCGATCCGCTGTAAACGCGATAAAATCCGCGATCTTGATAGATCGCCATGAAAAATGCTCGGTTTTCAAGTTTCCTCCGGTAACTGACTTTCGCGGAATTCGTCTGGTTGTCTGTTCGTCGTCGGGGCTACGCGCTGAAATTAGGGATTCATTTGACTTTCCAATCGTCTCCCCGAGCAGGAAACGCTGCCCCGGCAATCTGGCGACGGATTTCTTGCCAAAGGCGCATCAAGATACATATCTCGGGAAACTGTGGGCACGATAATTCACCATCGCGAGCTTACCGGGCTAGTTAACCTATGCTAAGGGCGCTTTTTCATCGCCGACGACTCAGCGTGTTTGAAGACGCGCCTCCAGAAGAAGGATGATACCATTCTTCACGTTTAAGAGGATCAGGCTGCTTATGATTGCCAAGATCTGGCTTTCGCTTCTTGCCCGGGAGCGGTTTTTCGGGCCGGAGACAAAATGCCGGCGCATGAATGTTAATTCATTCACGTTCCGCTGTTCCGGCCACGTTATTCGTCGCGCATTACGCAGCGAATTCGATGTGCACGCGTAACGAAGCATGGTGAACGAAATACGAAACGGCGAAGACAATCGAAAGAATTTTGTAGATACGGTTACGTCATTTTCGCCTTCTTTAAAGACTGAATTTTGAAGCAGAAATTTTGTTCGTATGCGATTGCTCTTGCAGTCGATTGCTGAAAGTAGCCGTGGTGATCGTAATCATTAATCACTATTTAATAAATCATCGTCGTCGTCGATCTGTAACCTGTAATACAGCTTTCGAAATCTCCGAGTTAATCGTAATCGAAAACGTAATTGCTCCATGATCGATGATTAAATCGTACCCACTGATCACATTCGATTTAATCAACTCCGGTTATTCGCTAGTTATGCTTGCTAGATCGTTTGATTAATAACTTAATTAATAATAGAATTCCGCGTTAATTGCAATGGTTAATCATTGATCATGTTTATTATTTATTGATTGGACGGCATTCCGCTCCTCGAGCCTGGTTGTACATCAACGGAAAAACATCGATTACCGGAACAGCGAAAATATCTGGTCAGATCGAAATCGTTGCACGCGATCCGGTCCCAACAGGACCTAGAATTCACGCCGATGTTCGAAGCTAAAGACAACAAACACGACCCGATGTACGCGCGGCAGAATAAAGTTTGCGCTCCCTTATGGAACATAACATATCGATGTTCGAACCGCATCGAACTTCCCCCCGCTTTCGTTTGTGTTGCGACGGCAAACAGCACATCCCGCGAATCAAAGCCTAACCCCGTCGCCAATAAATTAAAAGTGCGTTTGCTTTCCGCGCAAATTGACAGAGCCTTTCGCGGATCTGCCTCAAAGAGAATTGCAAATTTCATCAATATTAATGCCCCGTTCGCGAATGCTCGATACCAAATTCGAAAGAACGAATTAACCACGGACGAATAAACAGAAACTCGGTGATTGCAGAAATCGGGGCCGAGCGTTTCGCCGGAACCGACAGTTTTCATTTCGTCGCATTAAACATTTCAATCGATTCGATCTTAGAATTTTTAGGAGGCTTTCAGACCCCGGCAAGCGTCGATGCAATTATTTTACTCGCAATTTCGTCGCTAAAATTCGAACGGACAATTGTTTCGCGTAATAAGACGTCCGAGAAAATAAATTTAAACACTGTCGAAGCATAGTTAATTCCGTCACCTATTTTCTATCATTATTCTGCGATACGAATGCAAGCGAAAACGTCCGAAAGTTTATACATTTTTGCGAAGCGATTGCGACAGCTTTCCGCGAGCAAATCCGTGAGCGACCATGTTAATAGCGAACTAAATTACAAACTAAAGCTGGAAAACAACGCGTTCGGATCGCAAAAGAAAATGATTACCGGCCGAGATCTCGACGATCATGCTTCTTTAGAGATTTCCCCGAGAGCTCGCCGCCTGCTGGAAGCTGCCCGGAGGGTGAGTTTCTTTCGCGTTGATCTCTTCCACCTCCCCACGGCCCGTCGACGGCGACGGCCCTTTGTCTACGACGCACAAAGGAGTAGATTAGGCGTGGATCTACTCAGTCTAACGGCATGCATGATATCGCGTATCAGCCGTAGCGTATGTGTTTGTGCCGAGATAGACGTAGTTATGCAGCTAAATGTACCTGAATTGTATACCTAGATGCACACGCCTAACCGGGGAGACCATTGTCTCGGGACACGCACACCGGCGACGGAACCGAGATTACCGCGAACGCGCTCGCGTCGAATCGACGGCGTCGGTGCGCGGTCTCTCGAGAAGAAAGATTCGATTGAACGATCGAATAGGCTTGCGGTTCGCGAGATATCGCGCGCGAAAAAAAGCGGAACAAATTGAATTTCGGGTGTCTGGAACGTTTCGCGACGCAGCGTCGTCGCGAAAGACCGTTGCTTCGTTGGCGAACGATCTTCGAGATCCTTGACGCACTCGGAGACAATTGAACGTAATTAATTTCGCATCCGGACGAGCTTTAAAATAGACATCAATGGACAAACGAACAAACCCGCGCGCGCAAATAAAAGCTTTGTAAAAAGCCTGCAAAATTCTTCTCGATTCGGAGTCGACTCGCGTCAATTAATTTCCGCGCGAATTAAAATCGTAATTCCGCGTCGCGAATACGATCGTACCAGCTCTAATTGAACGTAATCGAACGAAGTATAAAACAGAGGATATATAAATGCTGGAGAATCTGTGCCGGGGCGATTAGTACGCGTCGCCGAGTCGCGTTAATAATTATGACGTATCCTCGGATTGTACACGGGAAGTCGATGCATGGCCGGCGCAGTAAATATTTCCAGAAACGCAATTCCGCCGTAGGAAGCTCTGATTTACCTAAAATGAATTATTGGTCCCGAGCGAATACGATTGACACGGTTTCGCTAATGCAGCGAAGCGTTCTTGGGCATGCACCTGAATGCACCAGGCCGGGCAAGGCATTATTGTTTCAGGACACGCATACGAATGATAGAACGGAGATTAGCGCCATCAAAGCGCCCACATTCGGCACACACGCCGAATCCGCGGAGCGCCATTACGAGGATTGATTTGCTAAATAAATGTTTGGCTTCGTAACGGAGAAACCATAATGTTTGATTCATGGATACGAAATTCTAATACGCGGCCCTCTCTCTCTCCATCATTCGACGAGGAAGACCGAAAAATTTACGGACACCCGCCGAGGATTATCTTCTGGAAATGATCCTGTTGGATCTCCCCAAAATACGCGGGCGATCATAAATTATAAGATCGAATCGATATCGTTTCTTGATCTCTCAAAAATGCGTGGGAAATGAAGTACCCGTAAATTATCGCTAATTGACGCTCAGCTTGGAAACAAAAATGGACAATTTGGGAAGAGGAGGTGCGATTATAGTTGTCGACGAACGGTATCCTATCACAAAATTGTCCATTTTTGTGTACAAGCTGAGCGTCAATTAGGGAGAATTTATTGTAATTAGATACTGATTTGTGCATGCTAATTGATAAATTATATGCTCATACTGATCACAGCAAGGTGCATGTCCCAACTAAAATATATAAATACATTATATATTATTATATTATTATATAATACATATTATTATAGATTATCATATAATTATATAATACATATTTATATATATATATATATATATATATATATATATATATATAATTATATAATACATTATCATATTATATTATTACATAATATTATACATTATTATATATAAATTATAAATTAATACACAGTTCTAAAATTATAGATAGTTATTTGTTTTATCGACAGCTGCTTTCAATAAAATATTGAATAATTGATTCGATTGGAACGCATCACTATCGCTGTATCAGTATTTTCATGTTCTTGAAATAACGATTTTATCGCGGCCTATTATTAACCGCTTTCAATTAATAGTAATCAATTCGAAACAGCAGATGATACGAAAATAAGTAATACAGTGGCAACGGTGGATCTCCGTAAAGTCCATCGTGATACACTTACATAACAGATGACCTATTAGTTTAAGGAACGCGGATCGACCGCATTGCAAGCATTATCGGCAACATTTCTCGGCAGAATGCTTTCCTGTCGGGCGATTTAACGAGTTAATTAAGCGGCCTCGCGAAACGATTTCATCAACGCGTCCTTTCATATTCATGCGAAAAGAGAAAGGATGCGCAGACGCGTCGTCGGCACAGGCATTCCTACAAAAATTACCGCCGATTCATCGCTTCCATTATCTTATTCGCATAATTCGAACAATCGACGAACAGCCGATTAGAAAATTTCACGGGAACATCGAATGAGAACGGATACCGTCCCGGGTTCGGCGAAGTATGATTGAAAATATTCAACATTCATTTCTCGATCCCGACGAATAATTTCGTTCGCCGTTTCTTTTCTTTTTTTTTCGCGGACCACGTGGCGCTCTAAAGGGTTAACGAGTAGCATTCGGCAGAGGGATTATTCGGAGAACCTGATTATTCGAGGTGAAACGTACACCTCGGAGAGACTGGATAATAACTCGAATCCTTGAGCGGAAACGAGGTAGTTAAAAGTCGGCGACAAAAAATTTATAACGAAAGAGAGAGAGAGAGAGGGAGAGATTTACCGTGGCGCTGTGGGAACGTCCTCGGTTCACAGCTTCCGATTCACCTGGATGATCGACTTCCGCTTGCCATTCATCAGCTCCCGTTTTCTATACCAGAAGACAATCTATCCTCGTAGTCGCTCGGGCTCCAGCGAATAACCGTGAAAGTTTTGGGAATCGAGCCGGAAAACTGTTACTCGCGTCGACACTCACGCCTCGGTGACACTGAAAGTAAAAAGAAAAAACGAGAACGTTCTTGTAGACAGGCTGGTTGCGATATATTAGCACGGCGAACATTACATTTTATTTATTCGATCGAACTATGCCGCTTTTATTATTTAGCACATCGTTACATTTTCAACGTGCGTACCGAAATCGTATCATCATCATCATCATTATTAAACAATGTTATTGTTCTAAGCATCGGTACCGAGATCGGATTACTGTCATTATCGTACAGCGTTATACGAACAATGTGATTGTCAAATGGTAAATGTAATTGTCTCGTGACACGAATTAGGGGCGAACAGTATTATCGCATTCCACGATGCAAGAAACATAATATAATTGCTAAACATAAATGCAATTATTCGCGTTATTGAATGGTTTCGTTAGTATCGCTGTACAATATTGCATTAATGATATGTAAATGGAATTATTTATGTTATTAAGTAGCATTATTACTGTCACTGTATAATATCGCATAAATGAAATATAAATAGGATTATTTACGTTACTAAATCGTATCATTACTAACACTGTAAAACATCGCATAAATAAAATATAAATGGAATTATTTACGTGAATAAATAGCATTATTACGGCCACTGTACAATATCGCATAAATGAAATATAAATGGAATTATTTACGTCATTAAACAGCATTATTACTACAATTGTAAAATATCGCACAAATGAAATACGAATGGAATCGATTTACCCGACTAAATAATATTGTCATCGTTGTTATTTAACGATGTTAGAACAACCAAACGCACGTACCAAATCTAACCGTAATCATTTCGTGGTCAAAGTAACACGTACCAGCGATAAACATAACACTTCTGAAAAAAGTAATTTCAGGAGCTGGGAGGGCGGGCATGGTGTCGCACCGAAATGTTAAAATACTTTCGCATAACTCGCGCTCTACTTTCATCCCGTGCCGACAAGTAGTATTGGTCTCTGCGTGGTCAGACGGACTACTTCGCAAAGTTCCCTCGCGGAGAGAAAATGAAACTGTATTTCTGAATTTCCCGGGTGTGTACGTGAGCGCGTTTCCGCGGCCGAGCTTCCTCTCCCCGAGTGAAACGAAACAGACTGTGTCACGGCTGAGAAGAAAGGATCGTCGAAAGGAAGAAGGACGCGTGTAATTTAATATGACCGCCCCGCGGAGTAAAATTCTGAGCGACGCCGCGCGATGCCGCCCGATTTTCTCGGTTTAGTTACTGCATATATTGAGAAATATTCTCGAGTGCGTGGAATAACCATCGCGCGCGAGCGCGCGGCGACAAATAGAAATATACGGAAAGAGAAACGGAACACTTTTTCCATCCCCTATGAAACGTCTCTTCCACTAAAAACCGCGGCTCTAACTGCGGAACGAAAATTGCGCTGGAAATAAAGTATCATACGTTCGGCTGCTCTTTGATGTCTTTTTTATATTTTCATTTCTGTCTATAAGCTGCGCAGAAAACAAACCACCGAGATATTAACAAGGTATTTATACAGTTTTCGTTCTATTTTCACTCGAAAAGATTTGTATCGAAAAAGGGATATTTCTCGCATTCTTGTTTACACTGAATTACCTTCGAAGGTATGAATCTTGAACGAAATCCATAGCGTGGATATTAAATATTCGATTAAAAGATTCTGTCGATAATCGTATAATATAAGTTTCGAGATGCAATTTTGAATTATTGATCCGACATCGCGGGAACTTCGTCGGGGAACAATAAGAATAATAGACGTTCGCCTTTTCCATTTAAATAGAGAACGAACGAAATCACGGGGGAATGAAGTCGGTGGTAATAAAATCTCGAGTATTTTACAGGAAACGCATTAACTATTATTAAACAGTTTTACGAGCGTTGTTCCAGACTGCTGAATTATTAATAATCCGAGGAGGGAAGAATGGAACGCGCTCCCGGAGACGAAATGATAATAGCGACAACGATGGCACCCCCGATGCCTCGATAAAGGCGACAAAAATTGCGTCGACGTCGGAGTCGGCGCTGATAAAACAAGAATTCTATTAACGGAGGCTTAGCAATCCCGACGCCCGGCGATGCCATTTTCTATTTTAATTTCAACTTCGTCAGCTCGAGCCGCGGCGTCTCGTTCGCGACTGCCTCGGCTGAATGCTATATTAGCCTCGCTCTCTTTCCCCAAGGAATATGTACGTTCGTTTGAAGACGGAACAATAATGATGTACTTAATTAAACGGGTGTCCCCGGAGCGGCGCGGCGCGGCAAAAATAAGAGGATTACTCGGGAGAAGCGGTGAGACGTTTTCTTACAACCGGAGAGACACTTCGAACAATGTCTAGGCTGCGAGAAACATCCACGGAAGTCCGCAGATTCTCGGAGCAGGAGAAAAGTTATCGAATCTTAGGGCTCGCAGGATTTCGTGGTTTCTCCCGCGAGGAAACACGAAAATGTTAGCCGACGTCTCGATCGCGTCGAGCTCGGGCGCGACGCAGGTGAGAAAATCGCTGGCTGACCGACAACTTCGACGGAATGAAATTTTCGTTATTCCGTTAAGAAAGGGAGAAGAACGCCGTCGCGACGCTCGGAGATTTCCACAGCTCGCCGGGAGACGTTGCGCAATACCGAGGGAAGTTCGACTGCTGCAGTGAAAGTACTTTAGCCGAAGAGACCTGTGTTTGCTCGTAAGCTCCGGCAAGACCGTTCGCGGTCAGCCGCAACAGAAACGACGAAAATTCGGGTCGCTTTAAATCTGATCTGAAAAGCGGAGCCGAGCGAAATCTTCTTCCGAACTGCGAAACGCGAGATCACGCCGACGACGCGAGCTCTATTTATTTCGCTGTTTATAATTCACCGAAGACGCTCTCTTCAACGTGATCTTCTGTTTGGAGCTATAGTCCTCGCGCGACAAGAAGGCAGCTTTGAGTTCGCATTCTCCCTCTTACTAGCTGCGCCCCACTGCCGCAGCTAGTAAGAGGGGGGATGCGAGGACTGTTAACGGACTGCCGGTCATCGTTGCCGAAGAATAAAAAGTCAGTATATTCGTAAACTAGAAGGCATTGTTTAACATCCAGGTACGACCAATCGGAGCTCATTTTGTAAAGTAAAAGTGAAAAATGGTCGCGTCCGATTGCATCTACTGCAATTTCTACAAACGATCGAATTCCTTAAAAATGCTACGTCACGTCGTCGACGATCCCTTCTGCTTCAAGAATAAAAAATCATTCTGTCTCGTTCGTCGACGATAACTGTAATCCTGAGATGCGATTAAAACCAACGAATAAACTCTGACATTTTTTGTAACATGATTTAAAAAAGAAAATCGAGAACGAAGGCAAAAGTTGCGTTAATCGCGGCGGTCCAGCCAGCTCGAATTTTGATCACGGCGGCCATTGGCGTAGTTTCGAACGCGGTCCGCCGTGTTTGATGAACCGGCAGCCGAGAGATCCAAGTTAGTTTCGTCTCGTTTCCTCTGTTAATTATTTGGCGGTCGGTTTCGAGGGGTTCGGAGGGATGAGATCGTTGTTCGAGGGAAAGAAACCGTTTATTGCTATCGGTTATTTCGCGAAGAAATATCGAATGGCCGGCTCCTCGGAGAAGAAGTTCGGTTCCTTCGAGTTTCCAGCTCGTTTCTGTCGCCGCCGACTCCGGCGATATTGGTGGCCGAAGAAGTTCCTCCGTATCTGTCGATTACCGCGATAACACCACGGCGAGACGGAACGGCGAAACGCCGGGGATCCTTCGGTGTGCACGCGCAACAATTTCCACAATGTTGCGTCATCGACTCGCGCGTCTCGAGAACTCTCATTAACGACGACGTTACAGCTACTTAGAAGTTACTAGAGCGGAGTGGTTATTAGTGCTTAGTACTCGTAGTCATTCAATTAGGCGTTCCTTAGCCACGTCGCGAATGAAATTCACACCTCTGACGGATAATTGGGTAAACAGGTTCAATCTACGCGTTCCCCTTGACAATCTGTGCCACAGGTATCGTGCTCCGCATTCTGCATTCCATTTCTCATTCCCGGGCTTCGGATTGTCATGCAAATTATAGCCAATCAGTCATCGATCCTGCTTTCGCTTTTCGAATTATGAAAGAAATATAGTTAGCTTGGATAACGTTGCGAACAATTTTGTTCGCCGCATCTTCAGTGTCTAAATAATGATAACAATAAATAATAAGAATAATGAAACTAATAGAATCGTTGACTTCGGAATATTTCTGGAAGAATTTGTTAATCATTTATTGAGCAATTTAACCAGGAGGAAAAGGTCTTCGCTACAAAGTTAAAGGTTAACCCTTTGCACTGGGGTGGTGANTGGAGCTATAGTCCTCGCGCGACAAGAAGGCAGCTTTGAGTTCGCATTCTCCCTCTTACTAGCTGCGCCCCACTGCCGCAGCTAGTAAGAGGGGGGATGCGAGGACTGTTAACGGACTGCCGGTCATCGTTGCCGAAGAATAAAAAGTCAGTATATTCGTAAACTAGAAGGCATTGTTTAACATCCAGGTACGACCAATCGGAGCTCATTTTGTAAAGTAAAAGTGAAAAATGGTCGCGTCCGATTGCATCTACTGCAATTTCTACAAACGATCGAATTCCTTAAAAATGCTACGTCACGTCGTCGACGATCCCTTCTGCTTCAAGAATAAAAAATCATTCTGTCTCGTTCGTCGACGATAACTGTAATCCTGAGATGCGATTAAAACCAACGAATAAACTCTGACATTTTTTGTAACATGATTTAAAAAAGAAAATCGAGAACGAAGGCAAAAGTTGCGTTAATCGCGGCGGTCCAGCCAGCTCGAATTTTGATCACGGCGGCCATTGGCGTAGTTTCGAACGCGGTCCGCCGTGTTTGATGAACCGGCAGCCGAGAGATCCAAGTTAGTTTCGTCTCGTTTCCTCTGTTAATTATTTGGCGGTCGGTTTCGAGGGGTTCGGAGGGATGAGATCGTTGTTCGAGGGAAAGAAACCGTTTATTGCTATCGGTTATTTCGCGAAGAAATATCGAATGGCCGGC